ACCGGCTCCATCAGCTGATGTTTCTTCAGACGTGGAGCGGTCAGGTGAGGCTCCAGGTGAGTCTGGCAGTAGGAGGCCAGACACACCATGCAGGACTTCAGGGCCTTCAGTTTGGGTCCAGTGCAGACGTCACAGGGAACTTCTCCTGGTTTGGCAGCTTGTTGCTCTGAGCTGCTGCTCACTTCCTGCTGAGCTTCACCTCTGAACTGATCAACCATCTCTTTTAATAAAGTGTTGACTCTCAGCTGAGGCCTGGAGGCAAAATGCTCGTTGCACAGAGGACACTTGTAGGGAACATTTGCATCCCAGAGCCGAGTGATGCAGGTTTTGCAGAAGTTGTGCCCACATGGTGTGGTGACTGGATCAGTGAACACATCCTGACAGATGGAGCAAAGAAACTGATCTTTAGACCACAGGCTGCTGCCAGAAGACATTTCTGATCGGAGGACAGAGCAGAGAAAACTTCAGTTAAAACAAGTTGATTAAGGGGCAGTTTTAGAGTTTTACAGTCAGGTAGGGCCATTTGAGAGTAACACTTTATTTGGAGGTTTGTGCATAAAACTGACATGATGCCGTCATGATCATGAAGGAGTTATCGTTTCCTGCCGTCTCTCCTGCTCTGGTCAAAAAAACAAAACAATGCATGCTGGTCCTGTACCAGTCTCTATGCTTATAGAAAATGGACCTACAGTTCTGTCTTGGAGAAAAAAAAATGAAACAAAACATAAAATCAGTTAAACTGGAAAATACAAAAAAAATAAGTAAAAGAACTAAGATTAAAATTTTATAAAAAAAGGAATAAATAGCTCCAACAAGAAGTTTATATAATGAGCCCAGCAGTTCCACCAGGTGTTTGCTAATTACTGCTGGCTAGTCTGAAGGAGCTGAGTGGGGGAGTCGTCGGGTTACGCTGCTCTGTGAACCAGGAGTTTGGACTCTTCATCTCTGAGGAGGAGCTGCGTCTGGAAGGCGGGGCTAAGGCCACCAAGGTGTTTTCCACAGCTGAATGGCTGCTGCTGCCATGGTGGGTCTCACAGAGCCAATCACAGACAGGCTGGCATTAGGTTGATTTATTTTCTAAATAAATCATAAACTTAATCAGGCCTAAACTGAGCAAAGCAGATCAGAGAAGGAAACAAAACTGGGAACTGGAATAACTGGTTGGTGGAATAAGCCAGTTTGGTTAAATGGGTTTGATTACTGGGACAAAGTAGCTGAACTGAGGAAGTGGAACCAACAGTAGAAACAAGTCTGAGTAAGTAAATACATGTAGACAAGAAACATGGCACTAAATAAAACAACATGGCAACACTTACCAAAGAAATGAACAGCAAAACTAAATGGAACTCACATGATTTGCTGTAATTGCAGGTTTGGATCCAAAAGCAGGGAGATGTGGCAGCAACTTAGTTTAATAATTTAGTGAATATTATGAGCAAGTAAAGTGCAGGCAGCACAGGTGAGCAAAGAAACCAAAACTCAAACTCTGGTAGTTTGAGTTTGACAGCAAAGGTAAAGATCTGACAAGGAGCAGGAAACACAGGTGGGGTTAAATACACAGGAGGTAATCAGGGAACACGAGACACAGCTGGGAGCAATCAGGGCAACCGAGACAGGAACTAAAAAGGCACAGAAAACCAAATCCTCACAAATGAAACTAATAAGGATGGAAACCAAACCACTGATACAAGAACATGGCAGGAATAATACAAAGGGAAAAAACTAATAACCAGGGTAAAAAAAATGAAACTTTACATGAACTGGCAAAACCTGATGAGGAAGGAGTAAAAGAAACAAACAGAAAATAAAAAGACTTAAAATAAACTGAACACAACAGAAACTATACAGGAATGAGAATACCAGAATAACCTCTAATAATAGGTTTAGCTGGAAGAATTAATAAAACAAAAACTATGAACTATCATCTGAATAGATGCAGATGATAGTTCACAGCTTTTGTTTTATTAATTAGCTTAGTTACCTATTAGGGTCTCTGGACAGAGTTCAGAGGTGGTATTAGTTTTAACAACCAGCAGGGGGAAGTGCTGTCTTTGTTTCTTTTTTTCCCTTTTTAACTGTTTATTACCTGATGAATCCAGATGAAGTTTATTTGCGTAGCACGTTTCAGTAAAGAGACAGTTCAAAGTGCTTTACATGATGAAAATATGAAACAAGCAAAAAACAAAAACATTTCATGGAAAGCCACGAAACAAAAGTCTTTTTTTTCACCTGTTCTTCAGGTGATAGAAGGCCGACTGTGTAACTGTCTTTATGTGGCTCTGAAGGTTCAGAGTTCATCACTGCATACTTCAGCCTGATTGCTGGTTTCCTGCTGTAATAACTGAAGCTGTGTTGACTCTAGATCTATCACTCTAGATCTATAACAACAGATCATTCCCCTTTAGGTCCAAAGATAAAACTTCAGTTTGTTTCTGGTGAGCTGGAGAAATTGTGGCCCATCCACTCATGTATCTGTTCTGAGCCTTTGTTCTGTACATTGATGGTAACCCAAGGATTGGACCTTGGGGAACCCCTCATGTGACTTCTGTCTGCTTTGATGAAAAATTACCTATTGATACAGAAAAGTCTCTGTTCTTTAAGACTTGAGCCAGTCGTTTTAGTGGGTCGGAGCGTCCAGCTCTCCAGTCGCTCCAGTAAAATATTACAATCACCGGCGTTAAACGCTGCACTGAGGTCCAATAATACCAGAACTTTGGTTCTCCTCTTGTCTACATCTATGCAGTTGTTTATCTGTATAAATATTGCAGGGAATGTCTCACCTGATGTTCGCCTCCGCAGCAGGAGACGAAGCGATGGTCCAGATGCTGATCGAGGCCGGAGCTCAGCTGAACCTGCAGGTAACGGCACACCGACCCGGTTTGTTCTGGGTTCATTTTCACCATTTCTGTGTCTGCTCATGTTCTCACTAAAACCAGGAAGATGGAGCTCATCACACCAGTTTTAAAGTCCCTACACTGGTTCCCTGTAGCTCAGAGAACAGACTTTAAAATACTGTTAGTTTATAAATCACTGAACGGTTTAGCACCACAATACATTAAAGACCTGCTGATGTATCAACCTTCCAGACCCCTCAGGTTCTGGTTCTGGTCTGCATCCCGAACCAGAACCAAATGAGGAGAAGCAGCATTCAGCTTCTATGCAACACAAATCTGGAACAAACTTTCAGAAAACTGTAAAACAGCTGAAACACTGAGAGCCTTTACATCTCGACTAAAAGCCCACCTGGTTAGAGTTTATTTGAAACGTGATCAGTTACGAATTTAATGATGGCATTGACTTAATGTAATGTTTTGATTGTTGAGCCTATGTTGCATGACTTTGTGTTTTTGTGTTTGTTATGATGTAAAGCACTTTGAAATGTCTTGCTGCTGAAATGTGCTGTACAAATAAAATGTGATTTGATTTAAACATGATTTCATCATTTCCAGGTTCCCAGCTGCTCTGTTCATCCCGGCAGCAGACACCAGGTGGCGCTGACGTTTGCTGTGCTGCATGGTCACCTCTGTGTGGTTCAGGTGAATTTTTTGCTTCTTTAGAGGAACGCCTCTAACTCAGGCTGATCCACCTTTACATCAGGGGTCTCAAACTCAGTTCACCCGGGAGCCGCTGGAGGCAGAGCCTGGGTGAGGCTGGGCCGCATAAAGGATTCCACAAAAACATTTAAAAATATCCTCAAATTTCATCAACATTTAATTATTTCTCCAACACATGAACTGCGGGTGACAAAGTTTAGTTTATTCCACTTGGCGTCGCTCTTGTTCCACGTTTCATAGAAATCTTTAGCCACGTATGGAGAACGTCTCGACGCGTGACGTCATTACCGCTTCTACTTGTCACACAGCGCCGCGGATGACGAGCAGCAGATGACGTCTCCTTTCTCTGCGTTTGATCCTGGCATTTGGTAATGGTAGAAAGTACCGGAATGGCGACTGTAGGGAAGGGAAACTGGTACCGGACCGGTCCATCATCCGCTGTTGTTACAGGCGCAGTGTGCATGAAGTCAGTGTAGCTTAGCGTAGCACCGAATGTCAGCCATGAGAGGAACGGCGGGCCGGACCCCCTCCAGAGGCCCCTCACCCTGTTACTGTCTTATCACGGTGGGGCCACCAGACATCGTCCTGCGGAGAATGAGACTCTGATTTAAAGGATTCCTCTGTATGACGGTGTTCAACAGCTTGGTTTTGTTGATCACTTTAAGTGAACTTGCCAGGATGAAGCAGTTTGATGGTGTCAGTCTCTGTTTGTCTCTGGCAGCAGCTGCTGGAGGCCGGTCAGATGTTGAAGGTGGCGCCTCCTGCTGGCCGGACAGCAGAGCTGCAGCTGCATCAGGTCTCTTCCTGCTGCAGAGCCACTCTGTCTGTTTCTTCCTGTTTCTCTGTTTTCCTCCAGTTTCCAGGAGTTAAGTAGTGTTTTCTCCTCCTAAGGAACTATGAGATGGTCAGCTTGCTGCTGACACACGGAGCTGACCCTCTGCTCAGTCTGCACCCCAGGACCGCGCTGACGCCCCCTCTGTTTGAGGACATGAACTGCTTCAGCTGCGCTGCGGCTCATGAACAGGTTCCTGCTGGCTCCATCTGGACTCGTCTCTGGTCGCTGAACGCCTCCATGACTCGTTTCCTTCTGCAGGAGCATCGTGAGGAGACTCCTGCTTCATCTGCCACACAGGAAGGAGGACATCCTGTCTCTGGAGGAGATCCCGTCTCTGGAGGAGATCCCGTCTCTGGAGGACATCCCGTCTCTGGAGGAGATCCCGTCTCTGGAGGAGATCCCGTCTCTGGAGGAGATCCCGTCTCTGGAGGAGATCCCGTCTCTGGAGGAGATCCCGTCTCTGGAGGACATCCCGTCTCTGGAGGACATCCTGGCTGAAGGAGTGGAGGACACTGACGGTCCAACCTGTCCACCAGCAGCGGACTCCCACAGCATTGTACCGCCACTGTCCAGAGCCCGGACACCTGGACGTTACCATGGATCTCAGAGAGACGGGTGAGCCAAAGATCTACATTTATTACCAATAATCATCCATAGCTTTGATAGAATCAGTGATCATGAAGAATAAAGTAAAATTGTTCTGATTGGGGTTTTTACTCTCATGTCTCTCTTAGAGACCCAGCCGTCCATTTTTAACTCAGCAGGAAGTTTGAGCAAATTGAAATCATGCTTAGATTTGGTCACAACGTAACGTCCAGCTTAACACCGTTCTGACAGACACAAGTTAACAGTAAAGTTACGTCTCTGTTTTTCTTTTTTCTTTTTTTTTTTTTTTGCTGTTCAGCAAACCACAGAGTGATGAAAATACAAAATAAAAATAAATTGAGACAAGGAAATATAATAAAAATGTTAAAAAAAATATCTTTATGTGTCTATTTTTCAAACTGGAAACAAACACAAATGTATTAAGTACATAATTAAATAAATGTCAATAAAAAAAATATTTTATTAATTATGATTGATGTCAGCAGACATCTCTCCATCTATAAATGGATTTATTCATTTTGAGTTACAAAATAATAGTAATAATTTCTCACAGTCAATAAAATGTCTTTATTTTTTAATTTAATGCTCGCACCAACCAGCAGGGGGCAGCATCTGCTCTCTGTTCAATGACGTCACTCCTGTCCAGACGTCAAGTCTCTGCTGAACACATTATTAAAACTACTTTCTAATAACAAATAATATGTGTGGAAACTTATAATAATTGGAAAAATTCATATTTTCAGATGTTTTGATAGAAAAAGATGCATTGATGAGTAAAAGAATAAAGAATATTTTAGTACTCTGGATTATTTTAGGATTAATCGAGTATTCGGATCGCTCTCACTCAGCGCTCTGAAACGCCGTAAAGTTCCACGTCGGGCTGCTAGCGCGCAGCAGCAAGTGACAGCTGCCACAAATAATGACCCGGGCGGAAAAGGTGTGCTAAACAATAAACTAACGAAGCTTAGAGCAGATTCATTTTCCTCAGGAATTTTAATAACCTCGGTATTCGAATCATTTGAGGAATCGTTACAGCCCTAAAATGTTTCTTCTCCAGCTCAAAGGGAAACCCGTCCAGCCCTTCCTGGTTATAACGTGTTGTGCAGTGAGGCGGTTTCTAACAGTGAGGAACGTT